TGCTCTCTTCACATGGTGGTCCAGCTCCATTTGGAAAAGCAATGAGGTATTTTTCCTCCTCTGCTTCCCATGGTTAAAAACTGTCTCCTAATTTCCAGCCTACATTAGCCAGTTTAAGCCTTTTTGTTCTTGTGCCACAACAGTCTTTTAGCTTAAATGGTTCCTTTCTGTACCTAGTGTTTACTGGCTTGATATATTTATGGAGGGTAATCATATTCCTGTTTTGCCTTTCTTTGCTGGGCTAAACAAGCCAAGTGCTTTCAGCTTCATCTTACAAGACAGGCTCTCCATTCCACCCCATGTTAATAGCCCTTCTCTGCACCACTCCCAGCGTGAATTCATCCTGCTGCAAGACGGGCCATCATGGCTGTGTGCACCTCCCAGGGCTTGGCACAGCCACCAGTACCCATCCTGCCTACACTGGTGCCACCCCAAAGCAGCTCCAGGCACAGTGGTGCTGCACAGCTGCTGGCTTCCCCCCCACCAGACTGTCACCTGGATGAGGTGACACTGGCAGGAGGCACTGCCTTCTGCCTCAGGATGGCAGCAGAAATGCCAGGTGTTCCTGCACACTGAGGAGAGCTGGCTTCTCCCCTCTCTGCCACACTGCATTGGTGCACAGGTGGAGCTCTCCCACAGGGGCTTATAAACTTCCATAGCCTTAAAGGGAACTCACAGAGGACGCGCAGACTCATCCCACTAAATGCAGGAGAGAGATGGTATCACCATGCTCTGATGGTCACTAATAACTTTACCTCTCCTGTGCTATTCTCAGCAGAGATAAACTTCCAGTGTCTGATGAGCCAGAACAGAAATATCCAATGGCTTTCTGTTCTTTTCTATTTTTGCTGCAAGCTGGTTAACCCTGAAATCCAATTACTGCTCATTATTCAGTGGAACTTGCCTCTTATCAAATGGACACACTGCAGGGCTGCTATGCTGACTCCTAGTGCTAATGGAGCCACAAATTACTCCTGCCACGCTCATGGACCCATAGGTGTGAGCCTAGGGGTACAGCACTCCACACACATGCAGAGCTCCAGAATGCTCACTCCTGCATCCCTTGCTGGGGCAGGCAGCCCATTGCTGCTGAGCACACCAGCTGTGGGATAATGGGATAACACACTCCCCAGAGCTGCACCTGGCTCCCAAGACTGGTAAGGCATGGTCTTGCTGCAGTCACCCTGCCCAGCCACCCATGGGTGCTGAGGGCCAGTCCCACTGCCCTGCATGGGCTGAGCAGGCAGCAAGCAGCCTTTAAGCTCCAGGGGTTACGTGCACAGTGTGAAATGCCAGAGGCTGATCCAGGCACGCCTGCCTCGGATTAGCCTGGGAGGCTCCGAGTGCGGGAGTCTGGCTCCCTGCATTAGCACGGGAAGCGGGCGCGCAGCCAAGCCCGAACGCCGCCTAATTCGCATTCGGTGCTGAATTCAGCAGGTGGGGAAAGGGAAAAAAAAAGGCTTAGCAGTTTTCTTTGCTGATTAAAGTCATGGCACAGCAAGTTTCACCTACGTTCGTTATCTGGAGGGGAGGGAAGGGGATGTTCCCAGCAGCAGCTGCTGTGATCCTCCCCATGCTCCCCCAGCACGGAGGAGGCAGCGGGCATAGATCAAACATGCCTGTGACCCTGTGCTCCCGGGGCTGGATGCAGCCCCAGGGCCTGCATCAGTCTTCCTCCTCTGGCATGGTCTCAGGGACAGTTTCTCTGGTCAGCCTATCTTAAACAGGTTCCACAATAGTCTCTCTTTCTTTCAGATGGTTGGTCAGTCCTTCTAAAAGACAGTTTAAGCTGATTCTCAGCAGAGACAGATGATGGGAATGGCTGGGGACACTCTCACTGAGGAGTCCTGATGCCTGCCACACTTTCTGGCACTCAGCATCACTGGGTTGCTGGTGAGCCCTTACAAGCCCTGCCTGCTGCTTCCTCCTTCCCTCCTTTTTTTTTTCCCTGCCTGCAATATTCACCCTCAAGTTTGTCTTTGAGTGGACCAGTGAGTGATCCAGTGGGGATCCAGCCAGCCATGGGCACAGAGCAGCATCACAGCCTCATTACAGTGACACAAAGCCCCGGACCAGTGTTCACTTGCTCATCCTCACCACAGAGCTGCTGCTGTCGGCTCTTCCCTGCCTTCCCTGGCTGCAGCAGCCTTTTATTCATTGTGCTGGCCTCCCATGCCCTTCAGAGAGGTGCTCATGTGAAGTGCCATCCACTCACACCCGAGGCTTCGCGGTTGCTGGAGGATGGGAGCAGTGTGATGGATGCTTGGGCAGGATCATCCTCAGCCAAATTTCAGCTCCTGCACCCAGTCCTCTGCTTCCACTTCCTCTTGCCTTGTCAGCTCCAATTGTCCTTATTACAGCTGATTAATTCCCTGTGCCGCTCTCCCAGTTGGTTAAAGGAATTAGCACCCTGGGAACACACCAGGGATACCCAGCAGTGATCTCCCCTCCATTGCAGGGAACTCATCCACATCTGCTGGGCATCCACAAGAACAAAAGCCTTCAAGGTGGCAATCTGAGCTCCTGTGGGACACAGCAGCTCCTCTTGGTCCATGTCTGCTTCACAGTCTCCAGCCCTGGCTTAGCTCCTCCTGCCCCAGCCAAAGGCAGAGCACCCAGGGATCTGCCGGAGGGGGAAGGAGACAAAGAAACCAATGCAACCCAGTAAGTGAAAGATTAAACATAATGCCAAGTAAATTAATATACAAGAAGGGAAGGCAGGTTTTAAATTAACTCATTATACAGCCTGGTTTTCCAACCCATTTATTTATCCCATAGGTCCTGCAGCTTCATATGGAAAATGGCTTCTGCTTGAGTGCTATCAGAGCCCGAGCGCAGCACGATGTGGCTGCGCAGCGCTGCCCGAGGCTGGCAGGCGACACCTGAGCGTGCCCACAGCGATGTGCGGGGACGGGTAATTGCACATGCAAAACGTTCGGCTGTGACAGCAAACAGGACAATTGAGCAGAGAAATGGGAATCCATTTCCATGCACAATTACCTGGGGAAGGCTAAACCATGGCTCCAGGAGGCAACCGAGATAGGTCCCCCCTTTCTCCCCCTCCCAGAGCCACCTCCTCTCAGTGCTGCCTGTTTCCCTGGGGAGCAGGGCACTTCCATCCTCCCAAGAACCGGGGGATGCTGTGCCGAGCTAGATGAGCCCGGTGCTTATTACTGGGTTAGTCTGATTATGGAGCAGACAGCTTATTGAACAAGCTGTTCTTTGGGGTGGATTTTCTGGGAAAAGGGGCAGGGAAGGAAGTGAATAGTCTGAGCCTCTTTGTTTGGGAAGTGGCTGCGATCAGGCAAAGCTTTTCTACAGCGTCTCTCTTATTCAGGAATTGCTGTTCCCAGGTCTTACTGATGAGCCGGAGCTGCCTCTTAATAGAGGAGAATAAATAAAAGGGCAAGGGGAAAAAAGAAAAAGCCCAGACCTCATTCTCTTCCCAGTGACTCCTCTTGAGCTGGCAAACAAAAGCCAAGCTGCATGGCAGGATGCTGGGAGCTCAGGAGAGGTGGCTGGTGCTGGAGGCAGATGCAGGTTTCCTGGGGTCTCTGCGGGCCAGGTCTGGTGCTGGCTCTGCCACGGGGAGCAGCAGGGGCCAGGCCAGCAGCCAGCAGGCAGCCTGGCTTTGTCCCCACTCCTGCCTGCTGGCTTTGCTGCACTACAGTTCCCAGCAGCCTGCAGGAATTGTACGCCTTTGCCTTGGAAAGCAGCATCTGAGCAGGTCAGGATAATGCACTTGAGGGGCAGCAGGCTCAGCGCTGACTGATGGAGGTGGATGCGGGCTGTGACACAGCACCAGGGGTTTCTGAAGGCAGGAACAGGGCTTGGGGACACAGTTATTCCCCAGCAGCACTGCAGTGGGCAGGGCAGGACTGAGGGCAGGGTGACAGTATCACCCCTTGCACACTCCCACCTCCTCCCAGGATGAGGGTGATGCTCTGTTTCACCCTCCAGCAAGAAGGATCAGCTGCTCTACTGCCTGGACAGGGAGAGGAGATGGTCCCAGATGACCCAGAAAAGGCTTCTCCTGGTCCAGTCTGGGGGGCCACCTCTGTGTCCAAGCTGAAGTAAACCCATCTCTCCAAGCACTCTGAGGGTTTTTGAGTCCTGGATTCACATGGGAAATCCTGGAAGGAGGCAGCCCCCAAGCCCCCTCTGCACGTGCTTCTAATTATCACACCTTCAGCTCCAGGAGCACCAGTCCTACTTTCCCCCATTCATAATTCAGCCTGACATAGCCCAGCAAAAATCAATTCACTCTTATAAGAAAGTGCCAAGGCAAATTATTTCCCAAAGCCTTCAACAAGGCTTTCTTCTCTCCCAACAACGGTATCTTTGGTGTTGAGTCCTAAATTACAGATTAACCCTTTAATCTCTTCCAGTTTGCCAGGGAGCACAGCCAGACAGGTGACTAATGAAGCCCTCGGCAAGAGCACCTTGTCACCTTGCTGGCCCATCCATTAGAGGATGGGCCCATCTAGCTGTGAGTCCATCCATTTGTCCTTCCCTAATTCATCCCTCCAGACATGCTATCAGCTGTACAACCCTTGCCATATGACCTTGGCAGGGAAGCAAGTGAAGCAAGGACTGCCTCAATTCCTAGAGAGGCTGTTCAGGCACATGGATCTCTGGAGATCCCTGTCTGGCCTTCCCCAAGGCAGTTTGTGGCCATCAGAGGTTTTTTTTCCTTTTCACAATGTCCCAGTAAAGTCACCATAAGGGAAAACCCAGCTTGGCATCCCTGCTGCCTTGAAAGCCACATGCCAGTGGCAGGGTCCAGTCCTGATGTGCCCTGCAGCACCCTGGGTGAGATCCCTGGCAGTACCCACCAGCTCCTGAGCAGACATGGCAAGAAAATACTAGAATGTTTAAAAGCCTTCAAATCTACTCAATGAAAAGGCTTTCCCCAGCCTTGGACCACAAAGGTTAGAAATCAGAGAGAGCCCATGAAAGAGCAAATCTAATAAAGGGAGTTTTAATCAGAGCCAAGAGAAGGGGGTGAGAGAATGGATCAGAGTTGTAAACTGGCTGAAAATCAGTCCCTTCGTTATCACAAACACATCATTGGAACTTAATAGTATTTGACATCTCATTAATTTAAACCAGGAGTCTGGGGAATAGAGAGAGAAAAAGAAAGAACATTATTAATTTTAAAGACCTCCTCCTGTAAGGGCTCACATTGAAAAAGAAAAGAAAAATGTCAGAGGAAAATTGTTTCTTTATGTTTTTCCTCAATTTCCTGCCCTGTCTTTTTTCCTATAGCTTGGAAGAGGTTGATAGGCATGGAGAACTCTGGTTGAGGCTTCCCATTCCCCTCCCCAGCCCCAAAGGGGGAATGTTCAAAGGCCAGCCCAGCTCTGGGTTCCCATGGGGTGGATGTGGGGTGGGATATAGGGTGCACATGGCACAGCCAGGTGTCCCTAGAGTCACCTGGCTATAAACCAGCAAGAGCCATGTGCTGTGAGTCATTCACGGACAGGCTCACGCAGCCTCGGCATGCTGCCCAACAGTGTCCGTCTGTCCTGCATGCACCGCTGGGAGAGGAGCTGAGGACCAAAATAGCCATCCCTAAATCCAAGAGCATCCTCAGAGGCTGCAGTGAGGGGGATATCTGCTCCCTGCTCCCCTGCCAACGAGGAGCGGAAGGCAGAGCTGCCAAAAATAAAACGATTCAGGACACCGGCTCTATTGTAAGGGCAGATGGAAGGCGCTGGGGCTGCGCTTGAAAAGGCAGATCTGAAAGGATGGAATTAAAGGGACTTTGGAGAAAGAGAGGCTTTCTGCTAAAGCTGATGTGCTGCTCTGCAGATAAGGCTCCACAGGTGGAGTGGCAGGCACTCTTTGGATCTAATTGGGAAAGGGAAAAACCCACCTCAACTGTCCCCAGATGCCTTTGGCAGCAGGAAGGTGGCTTCCCTTGCTCCTCCAGCTCCCACTGCCAACTTTTTAAAAAGCACTTCTGCATCTTGCCCTGGTATTTCAAGAGAATTCAATAATCTTAGGCAATTATTTCAAAGGATTTTTGAAATTGTCCTATTTTTTCCCCTTTCAGTATGGCTGCACATCACAATGCCCGAGAAGGCCCGGCTGCCTGCGGGGTGGCCAATTTAGCTCCATGGATTTTGACTGCTTTCTCAAGTCCCACTATTGATTTTCTGCTGGGTCCAACTGAGAATTCAGCTTATTATAAAAATCACAACTGGGGCAGAGCAATGTAGCCGGTGCTGCCTCTAGATGAGGCTTCCACCTTCCCTGAGAGTGGGTCCTGCTGCCCTGCAGGCCCTGTGCTTGTAGGGCTGATGGGGTGATGTGGCCTGTTGATAAAGGAGAGACATTTCCCTGGCTTCCCCAGCATGCCCAGGGTTTGCTCTGCACTGGCAAATACCTGTTTCCTGTCTCATGCCCTGTTTAACAGCATTCACTCTCACCTGTTTCCTGCACAGACAGTTTTAAGTCCTCAATTTCTCTCTTCAGCCAAGGACTTCATTCGCTGCCAATGAAGCTGATGGTTTCACGAGCTGGGCCAGGTGACTTGCCTTAAGGCAGATGTTCAGTGTTACTCAGCCAGCTGAAAATGGGGAAATAATAGGAAAAACAATGACTTCCATGCTGAGCTGCTTGTACTGGCTCCCAACCTCACCATCTCATGCCCAGAGGACACCCTAGTGCCACCATCTCCCCCCTGCTAACTGAGTTTTACTCCTCATTGCTATTCAACATGCCCTGAAAGGAGTAAGGAGGCATCAGAAATGCTAAAGCCACCCCACAATGGCTTTGGCTTTTGTTCCCTGTTATTGCAGCCTCCTGACAGAGCAGGAGCACAGAGGGGATATTTATGAGCCCTACCAGCAGTGGGCTCAGCTCTGGGCTGTGTTTAAAGCATCTCTGTGTTTTCCCAGCTTTAACCACCTCCCAGATATTTACAGCATTTGACAGCTGGAGACACAGTCAGGCTAAATGCTCATCTGCTTTCATGAACGGCCTTGTACCTCAGGGGAAAATTGTTAGGGGATACTGGAGGGGAGGGGAGGGCAGGTCCTGGATGGAAACATGGACATTCCTCTAGCACAGCAGGTTCCCCTCCCCAAGTTCCCCAGGTGAGCATGGCCAGGAGGAGCTGGGAAGGGACATATTGTACCAGTGTGAGGGACCCCCTGGTCCCTGGCTTCGTGCACAGGGTTTAGCAGGTTCCCTCTTGCCTTCACTCTGCTTCCCATTCCAGCTACAGATCTGCCTCATTTTTCTCTCTCTCCCACATCCCCTTTATCTCCTGTTTATTTTTCTTCACTGCTTTTGCATCCTATTCATCTGCCTTTCTTTCCATCTCATCTCCCCCATCCTGAAAGGCTTGTCAGGAGAAGAAAGAGCAAGCCCAGCTTCTCCCAGCTCTATTTGCCAAATAAGGCCTAGAGTCAGGTTTTATTTAACAAAAGGAGAATGAACTGAATGCAAGTAGGCCAGAAGAAGCGCCTGTGGATAAAAAGGATGACGGCAAGAGAAGGATGAGCGCGGCAGAGGCAGAGCATCCCCTTGGGGTTCTGGGCACAAGCTTATTGCCAGAGCCCAGGTCCAGTGCTGGGGCAGCCCTCGGCCGCTGTGCTCGTTAGTGGTGCTAAAATAGCGTGACAAATACGGGAGTGTCACAGGAGGTTGGGGAGCCAGTCAGGTGCCTAATGAGCTGGGTTAGGGCGTCGTTATTTGAAGCCAAAGCAGTGTTTTCTTTCCCCCCATTGGCTATAATGCAATTAGAGAGGCAGCGGCTATTGGAAGCGGCAGCAGCAGATGTGGGGGAGCGAGGAGGGGGAGAAAAGCTGTGGAAACCCCTCCTGCTCCACGCCATGGTGTGGGAAGCACAGCCTGAAAAGGAAGAGAAACTGCAAGCCCAGCTAAAGGATGGTCTGTCTCACCAGGCCCCCAACGACATGGAGCATCAAACCCCACAAACAACCTGAGGACAAAATCACCTCAGCCCCGACCTGCAGCACATCTGTCCAGACTCTCTGTCCCTAAATCTCATCTCTCCTGGTGCCTCCCTTCCCGCCCAGGGGCATCTCTTGGTGCTGGGGATGCATCTGCCCTCAGTCAGCATTAGGCACGGAGGGAGCTTTGCCTTGCCTGATGGCAAACCCTTCTCCATGCCCTGTGGGCTGCAAGGCATCGCCCACCTCCCTCCAGCCTTCCTCAGTGATGCTAAGGTACCTTACAGAGCCCTTATAACACTCATGGGGCTCCTTGAGGGATCCAGGGGGATGTAATGCCAGCTCCTCTCAGTCTGCACCCCCTCCTTCAAGCCCAGGCTTTCAGGGTTCTTTCTGCATACAGTTCACTCAAGCAGGCTCAAGGCAGCTGAATCAAAAGCAACTCGAAATACATTTTTGCAGCCTTTCTGGAAAAATAGCCTTTAAAGAGGGGCCTGGCCCCGTGCCCAGGGAAGTTAACTTCAATTGACTCGGCTGCATTTTGCTCCAGGCCCTCTCTGATTTTTCTGGAGCGCCTTGTAATATCAAAGTGCTACTGTGAGGAAATTAAATCCACTGCACTTAGCACCAGTGTAAGCTCTTTCCTCCATGCCACACTCTTACACAGGCACCAGAGTATCTTTACCATCACCTACCTCAGCCTGCATCACTGCAAACACGTCCCACAGCATCTGCTGGATCAGGTACACAGCTCTCCTCCCAGGAATTTGCAGGTTATGGCTCCTGGCTTCACGTCATTCGCCAGGCTTGCTCCCGAGATGGCAAGAAAAGAGACCCACAGCGGAAACACTACTGCATAGAGCTTGGTGTTGGGATTAAGGATTTTTCCTTGTGTTTCTTTCTCTCATGGAATTTCATCCAGTCTGTCGCTAAGAAACCAAAACGACCAGTACTTAGGAGAGACCAAAGAAGTTGCCAAGGGAAGAGTGCGGCTGGCTACTCTCTTATCTGAGGGGTTTCTCTTGGAGGGGCAGAGATCCTGTGAGATCTGTCTGGGGAAGTGCACTGGGTGCAGATCCCTGAGATCTGTCTGGGGAAGTGCACTGGGTGCAGCTCCTCGCTCTCTCTCCTGTCCCTCACAGAAGCCGCTGTGCTCCCTGAGGGGAGATTTGGCAGCGCTGCGAGGCTCCGTCTCCTGCTGCCTTTGCCACCGGGAGCCAAGCTGTGCTTGTGGAAGTGGCTGTTGCACTGGGGCCTTATCAACACCCCACCCCAGGAAAAAAGGGCCCTTAACCATCTGCTCGGGTGCCTCAGGGCAAACCCTGGGGCCCGTTCCCCTCAGGGGAGCCTCTCCCGGCCGTGTTTGGGAGCCGGGCCCTGTCATTTCTCTGTCACTGCTCCGGGTTTTTGCTACACTGTAGCCGCACACGCTGTGCCAGCCGGGGCACCCCGTGCCTCCCGGCACAACTGCTCAGTTTCTGCCGCCTCTTGCTCGCTGCCGGCTAAGCTGCCCCGCCGTTCCTGCCCCAGCCTGGCCGCGCCGCCATCGCCCCATGAGGGAGACGCGCACAGCGCCCCCTGCCGGCGCGGGGAGCCCCGCCCGCCTGCCCGGCCGGGAGCCCGCAGCGCCCCCTGCGGCCGGGCCGGGAACTGCAGCGCGGGCAGGGCTGGCCAGGAAAGGAAAGGGAAAGGGCCAGCACTGCTGCTCCAGCTTTGCGTTCCCGTCTTCCCCGTTCTTAAAGCCAGCTCTGCCCAAAAGCACCAAAGTTACAGTAATTCTGAGGGAAGGGGTCATACTCTCCATTCCAAGGGAGGTTCCCACCTGTCTATCAAACCAAGACACTTGTACATTATATATTTTATATTTACTCCCCATGTGTATCATACCTTCTTCCATCAATACTCTGCAATGGAAGCCTTTGTGCATCCTTTAACTTAAACTCTAATTTACCCAAATAAGCAGGACTTATTTGAGGCTGCTGAATTCCCATGGCTTGTTCCCATTCCCACTCTCATTTGCTGCTCCTGGCCATCACCAACTAACTGGCCCCTTTGGCTTGATTTTCTGGGGGAAAAAACAAGCCTAGAGCCCTCATAAGAAGATTGGCATGTAATGCAGTTTTCAGATAGTTGGAGCAGTGGGGCTAGGGGGTCTGGGATGCTCTTGGGGAGTGGGTACTGACCCACTGGATGTGCATCACCCATCAAGGAAGGGACTGCATGACCAACAGCCTGTGCTCCCAGGGGAACCTGGTGTTTCCTTTTCTACAGCTGGAGAAGCTGCCTGGCCAACTCTCTGCCTTGCCTGAAATGTAGCACTTCTTAAAACAAAGGCATTTGGCCTTAAATCCCCTTTTACTCCTCCTCGAGACCAGCTTTGCTCTGGGAGTCAGGTGTGCTCAGCTGCAAACCCACGTACAAGGAAAGCACATCAGCTCCTGGTGGGAAAGTGAATTATTGAAGCCAAGGGAAGCTGTGACGAAGCAATCAGGGTGGACTGCCGTATGCTCCCAGTGAATTATTCAAAGCCTGGTTTTAAAGCAATTCCTGAAATAAAGATGACAGAGAAATGGGGGTGAAGGAAAAAAGCACTGTAAAGGGCCACTGTGATGCCTCCCTAGGTGTGGGGACCAGGCCGTCCCCTCCACAGGGTGCTGCTGCCTGGTAGAGATGGGCACACACACAAAAATACACCCTGGATGTATCTTTTACTGCTCTTTTATCCTAAAGTCAGACAATTTAGTCTGCATGGGCCGGTTTAACCCCACTGGCAGGAGAGCCAGGCAAAGAAAAGTCCCTGCTTCAGAGGACATCCTGTGAATTTATTTGATTTCAACAGACCTGAAAGCAGAAGAGCTAGAAGAGACGTGCGGTGCAGGGAATGGGGAAAACCAGGCTGAACTGCCTCGAAGGCTCGTAGAGAAAGCCAAACCACAAAGGAAAACAAGAAGGAAAGAGAAAATACTTTATTACATCTGTTTGAAGTGAGGAAGATACAGGAATGAGCAAACACTGAACTGTTTTGCTTCTGCTCACAAATGAACACACCACTGAGCCTAATGGGATTTTAGATTAAAAGTTTTAACAAAAAAATAACAACCACCTCCACAAACAGAGTTTTATAAGGTCAAATAATAGATGCAGGGGAGTAAAAACCACTGCCAGTGTTTTACCTCCTTCTGCAGGGATCCTTCTCCCAGCCTGAGCCCCTGTCTTCAGGTGTCCTCCTCTAATTCCTGTGTTTATTCTTTCAGTGGTTGCATTTCCTGCTGAGGATGGCTGGGGAATAATCCTCTGGCATCCTCTTTTGGCTGCCTTTTCTAGGCAGGGCTTTACAAGTAGTTTGGCTCCCATGAGCCAAGGCCACCTTTGGGGAGCAGCAGGGCTGGGAACAGGCAGCAGAGATGGCCTGGGCGACAATGGGATGCTCCAGAGGGAAAGGCACTTTCCCACAGAGTTTCCTGTCAGGATCTCCAGCTTGTCAGAGTGACCCCAAGAAAAGTTGGAATGTCTCTTTTCCTAGTCTGGCACTTGAAGATGGAGTCAGAACTCTTCGTTTCTCAGTCTCAAGGTTGTTTATTGTATCTTATCTATAAAATTCTTTCTCCTGTACTGCCAAGGTCCATCCAGCAGGACAGATCCGGGCACTTTGCCTGCTCCTGGGCTGGTATCATGTCTTTATACTAAAAACTATGTATACAATATTTACAATTACTTTCCAATACCTATCGCCTATGTTAGACAGTGAGCTTCTACTCTAAACCAATCTAAAATGCCAACATCACAGCAGAAGATGGAGGCCAAGAAGAAGAAGGAGAAAGGCTGGACACACCCAGTTCCCTCCATCTTGCCTCCTGAACCCTCATACCAAAAACCCCAAAATCTACTTTTCCACCCCATGATAACTTCACTATCTACTATCTATTCTACCTAAACTGTTGTGGCTTGCTGATCTTCATATAAGGTTAGTAACTTGCTCCACGGGTCATAATCAAACCCACAGGTGTTTTGGGCTCTGTGTCAGAGCTTCTGAGCCCCCCTGTCTTGGCCATCCTGGACAGCCCAGAGGGATGCCCTGGGTTCCCACAGTTTCCCATCACTCTTGGGGTTTCTCCAGCAATGAAGGGCTCCAGTCTGCCTTGCCATCAGTCAGGGAATCACTCCCCAACACCCAGGAGGGTTCTGATACACACTGACACCCCCTTTGCTAATAGAACAACATCCATTGCGCACGCAGCCCGGCCCTTTACCCACCTATTTCTGCTGGGCACCAGATGCACGTGCCCCGTGACTCATTTTTGGAGGTGTCAGGTACTTTCAGCAACAACCGACTTCAAGGACATCGGGGGTTTGCAGCACCCTTGAAAAATTAGGCAACTTCTGCACGCCTAAATAGATGCTTAATGACAGACACTTGTGGGTGAGCTGTTGGCAGCAGCCCAGGCCCGCGGTGAATCAGACAGAGCCAGGGTGGGTGATGGGTTTATCCCGGGAGCTCTTCCCTGCTGTGCCTGCCCAGGACAGCGTGTCCCGCATCCCACAGCGAGGCGGGGTTCTGCAGAGCACATCCCGCACTCCCCAGAGCGGGATCACACAAAAAGAGGGATCACACAAAGAAGGATCACACAAAGAACGGGATCACACAGCGCCATCCTGCCGAGGGGTGCTCGGGTGGAAGGAGCATCCCGGATCCGTCCCCAGCCCCGCGTGGGTCGTGCCGGGGAGCGGATTCTCTCCAGCAGCCCCCCGGACCACCGGCGGATTCAGAAGCATCGTTGGCCTCTCCAGCGCTCTCAGTCCCCCTTCTTCCCCGCTGATTGCAATCAACACCTCATTCATACGCCTCTGTTTACCAATTTTCCGGGAGGTATCATGCTAATGAAGGGAGCCAGGCAATCAAGCAGCCTCCCAGAAGTGGGGAAAAGAAGGAGGAAGAGAGAAAGGGCTGCTGCCGCTGAAAAAAGAGGGGAATGGGCCAGGCAAGGCAGGGAGAAGAGAACCGAATGGGGTTCACTCTGCCCTACCACCAGCCCTGCATCCCTTCCAAGGTGCAGCTGTGAGGAGAGAGATGCTGTTACCTGTTGGGCAACAACTGCAGCACCTTCAGCAGAGGCACACTGAGGAAGATGAGGATGCTGGCCACAGCACTGCAAGGAAAGTTTACTGCTTCTGGAAAGTTCAGCTCAACCTCTGGAGTGCACAGTGCTGAACCTGGGCTCACAGGCTGTGCTCTGCAATAATATTTGCCCCAGGAATTACAGAAGTGTGTACAAGCAAGGGCTCCATGCAGGTAATAGAGCTCAAACTGTGTGCCAGGTCCTTCAGGACACCCTCTTGGCTGCCTGGAGGTGGCATCACCAGTGCCTGTGCTGGGTTTACCACTCCTACTCACCTGGTGAGACAGGTAGGACAGTTAGCTTGTCACTAAGTTGCAGAATAAGGGGTACAATCCTCTGCCCAAAATGCTACTCTGGCAGTGAGTCTGAGGCCCCCTTGGCCCAGGGGATGCCCAGGCTGCATCTCCATCTAGCACAGAGGCTGGAGAGCAGCAGGTCCATGCTGGCAGAGCGCCCTGGGGCAGATGGGGACAGGCTCTCCACCATCTCCTCCCGCTGCCTGCTGGAGCGAAGCTGCCGCGGGTCAGCTGCCCATTCCCTGCCTGCTGCCTCCCTTCTGCCAGGACTACACCTTTAGGGAGGATTTTTGAGGCAAGGTCCTATTTTTCAGAGCAGAAAGCTCCTCGGGGCAGGATTTCCATCACTGGTGGACTGGAAGAAGGGACCCGAGGGCGGCGCTGAGGCCGCGCAGCTGAGGCCATCTCCCTGCCAGGAAGCCGAGCAGAAAGGATGGCTTACAGGTGGCAATCGGGCAACAAATAACACGGCGGAAGACAGCCGTGATTCCAGCCAGATGGAGAAAC